GATCAGAGATTCCCTTGGCGCTTGAGCTAACTTGAGCCTTTTCCTTGAGGTCTCTGGCTATCTGCCACATCGCCTGGATGCCCCCACCCAGGCGTCCTGCTAATTAGCAGGGGTTCCACTTCCAGAGGCCTCTCCTCTCCCTACTGTTCGGCTTCCTTCTAATTAATTCACTTGTGCTGCTCATTAGGATCAGCCTGCAGAAGACTTCCAATACAGCCTTCCTAGTGGCCTCTGGGCTACAAGGGAAACAGCTTGACTGGCTGGCTGGGTAGAGCCTCCTTCTGCCCCTCCCCCCCATCAAGCAAACCGAATAGAGGGGAGGAGGGGAAAGCAATTGTCTTTAGCCAAGGTGGAGCTGAAGATCAGAGCATCGATCCTATGACAATCCCCTCAAATATATTCTGCTCAACCGTTGCGCCGAGGATAAAGGCGGGAGGCAAGCATAATTTGCTGTGCAAACATTGCCGGCTGGGTTTTTTTTTGTTTTGTTTTTCCTTTTAAGAATCGCATTGATCCTAGTATATAAAGCCTCCATAAATCCATCTAATATCCTAAGTTGATTGATTATTGCCCTTTGAAAAGACTATGTCCAGAACTGCAGGTTTTAAAATGATACTTACTAATAAATTACATGTACTCTTGCAGAAACGGGAGGAAGTGGGTTCTGCTGCAAGTGGGTCAGTAGCAGAAACATGAAGCGCAGGGTCTCCGAGTGAGAACTGCCCGACGCCCCAAATCATGTAAAGAATCAGTGTGGTAACCACACAGCAAACCAACGGCAGGCAAAAACAAACAAAGGATGATCAGTTGAGGCGTAACAAAATCTCATATGTAAAGCACAGGAAGGAGATGCCAACACACACACACACACACACACACACACACCCCACAGAGAGATGAAGCAAACAATGATTAGGTGAAAGAAAGACAAATGTTCATACATTGTACAATAAGTAAGCAATTGCACAAAATAATTCACCCAAACCAGGGGTGAAATCCAGCAGTTTCTGACAGGTCCTGGAGAACCAGTAGTGGAAATTTTGAGTAGTTCGGAGAACTGCCAAATACCACCTCTGTCTGGCCCCAGAGTAGGGTGGGTATGCAGATTTTGCAGTATCCTTCCCCTGCCACGCCCACCAAGCCACGCCCACAGAACCGGTAGTAAAAAAATTAATTTCACCACTGTCCCAAACTTTCCCCAGAAAAAAAGTTTCATTCTTACAAGAAGCACAAAAATGGAATCACAGGCTGCAGAGATGTAAGAAATTAAACGCTGCTCGGTTAACCTATACACAATTTGAGACAAAGTAGGATTTCACAAGGACAGCAGAGAGTAAAATAGAGAATAACAACAGGATGCAAGTGTGCATACTTGGCATACACTGGCTAACACTGGCAAAGTCCTTAGTGACGGGGGAAAAAAAAAACACTTTTCTTTCCTATACAGGCAGAAAGTAGAACAACAATGGAGGCCCAGTCTAGAAAGAGCAGGGGGAGGAGATGTGAGATGCAGGACCACTCCTCATTTCAGGGGGAAAAAATCAAGTGGGCAACTGCTTTCATGAACACAGAGAAATTATCTCTCTGTCACCTGGCCCCGCCCATGATGCACAACAATAAAACCTTGTGTTTTTCAAGTCTTTTTCCCCCTTCTTCCCTTTTAATTGCCTAGAAAAATGCAGACTCTAATCCCTCCTGAAGGAAATCTAGCCTCCTGGGAATTCTGAGGGCAAAAGCTAAATTTTGCATAAAGAAGCGGTATTCAGCAAAGACGCTAAAAAATTCAAGAAAGATGGTAAAAGAGCAACTCATAAATCAGTCGGCTTCTTCTGTTTGGGGAGAGATGGGTGAGTGAATGACAGCTGCTAGGGGCAGAGGCATGTTGCGATTGAGATATATTGGAGTCTCTGCGTTGTTGCCTTCTGGGTGAAAACACCGCAAAGGAGTCCTCTGATACAGCTCCGTTTTGTCACATGCCAGGGAACAAATCAATGTTAAAAGTTGTGTGGAGAGAAACATGAGATATTAAATAAGGGAGAGGGAGGATAGGAATGAATGCAGAAAGTGTATGAGAATGCAAGTGAGCAGAAATTCTAAGATGGGTCAGCAACCCACGGCTCCACATGTGGCTCTTTCATCCTTCTGCTGTGGCTACCTGTCGCCAGTCAGCACCACAATTTTGAGAAGAGCTTCCAGTTGGGGGGGGGGGGCAGGGCGTGCCAGGAGGAGACACTATGACAAGGAGCAGGTTTTCCAGTCAGCTCCACAATTGATAGAGCTTTCAGTTAGGACAGGTATAGGAAAAAGGACGCCGTGCTAGGAGAAGACTCTATGGTGGACAAACTGGACTTCCGGTCGGCTCCAGAATTGAATGGGGGGCTTCCGGTTAGGATCTTTGTTGCTCTTTGAGTGTTTAAGGTTGCCAACCCCTGTTCTAAAATGAGGTTAGCATCTGCTTAGCTTACACTGTATGGTGTACAACCCAAGGCAGCAGCAACAAGGTGCTAAGTGTAAAGGCTGCATATTAAAATACATATTTATGCCCCCACACACAAATACATAGAAGTGAGTTCCCCCAGCCCAAACAACTAATATAATCTGTGCAAGGATGACATCAGTCTCCCAAACGGAACTGAGACAGGCAGAATAGTTCAGTCATTCCTACTTTACAGAGGGTGTCCTTGTTTAACGACTGCCTCAGACAATGAACGTTTGCAGTTACGACAGTGATGAAAATGTAACTTTGCAACCAGTGACATTTGCCGACCTTTGCAGGTCGGCAAAGCAAAGGAAAGCTGAAGCAAGATTGTTTTGCTTAATGACTGTTTTGCTTAACAACCGAGTTGCCAGTCCCAATTGTGGCTGTTAAACAAAGGGTACCTGTATGTACTCAGTATAAGACAACCTTTCCCAGGCTGACAGTTTTCAGATGTGTTGGATTCAACCTAACACATCCAAGAGCTACTTTGGGTGGGGCTGATGGAAGCCTCTGTTAAACCTGCTTGGAAGACCCCAGGTTTTTGGGGAGAGGGGGAAAACATTTGCACCACCCATCTTTGGGATTTGCTAGCCACACAGTTCCACTTCTTCATCAACATTCCCATAGAACAGGTCTCCAACCTTGGCATCTTTAAGGCTTGTGGACTTCAACTCCCAGAATTCCTCAGCCAGAAAAGCTGAGTTGAAGTCCATAAGTCTTAAATTTGCCAAGGTTGGAGACCCCTGCCCTAGACGACCCAGAAAAAGTTTCCAGTAGAGTTCTTCCTGTGGAAAGAAAATATATGTGTTACCATCGGGGGGGGGGGGTTATTGAGTGATTGATTGAATTATGAAACTACTAGTCTGCTTCAGGGGATTCTAAGCAAGTTTATAAAAGTAAGAGAGCATAACCCAAAGCAATAGTACTGTACATCGAGTAAAAAATCAAAATATTTATATTATATTATTAGTCATTAAATATCTGGTTCCAAAGGACATGGTAGCTCAGTGGTTAAGACGCTGAGCTTGTCATTCAAAAAGGTCAGCAGTTTGGATGTTCGAATCCCTAGCACCACATAACGGAATGAGCTCCCGTTATTTGTCCCAGCTTCTGCCAACCTAGCAGTTCGAAAGCATGTAAAAATGCAAGTAGAAAAATAGGGACCACCTTTGGTGGAAAGGTAACAGCGTTCCGTGTCCCTTCGGCATCTAGTCATGCAGGCCACATGACCACAGATACGTCTTTGGACAGCACTGGCTCTTCGGCTTTGAAACAGAGATGAACACCACCCCACTAGAGTCGGGAATGACTAGCACATATGTGTGAGGGGAACTTTTACCTTTACCTTATCTGGTTCCAAGGACTTTCCACAAGAGACAATCTTTGCAGGTTTCCTAGCAGCTATGAAAATGGAAGTCATCCCTGCCTTGGGGTGATGGCAGATGGGGAGGCAGTTGAATTGTTCCAAAGAAGGAACCCTCCAGAGGGAACACAGTCCTCGCCTTATCACCTTTCATTTAGTGACCATTTGAAGTTACAACAGCAGGGGGGAAAAATGACTTGTGACCATTTTTTCACACTAAAAACCGTTACTATGGTCACGGGATCAAAAGCTTGGCTGCTGGCATGCATTTATGACTATTGCCGTGTCCTGGGGAATCATGTGATCACCTTTACGACTTACTGACAAGGAAGGTCAGTGGGGAAGCCAGATCCACTTAACAAGCGTGTTACTAACATAACAACGGTAGCAAGAAAGGTCATAAAGTGTCTCTTCTAGAAAAGGAACTGCAACATTTCCATTTAAAACTCATTCTGTTTACCTAATCAAGCTTATAGCAATATATAATATCTGTGTGTGTAATATCTACGTGTGTATGAGTGTCAATGAATCAATCAATCTCCTTGATGGTAACATATATATTTTACACACACACACACACACACACACACACACACACACACAGAGCAAACGTTCACTGTCTGAGGCAGTCGCTAAACAAGGACTCCCTCTGTAGGAAAGGCTGAACTATTCTGCCTGTCTATATAATATAAATATTTTGGTTTTACTCAATGTACTATTGTTTTGGGTTATGCTGTCGCTGATATGCTGTTGTGATACAATAGAAGGAAGATGCCAATGAATTGAGGAAGGCTGTGTGTGTGTGTTTGTGTGTGTGTGTGTGTGTGTGTGTGTGTGTGTAAAAAATATATGTGTTACCATCAGGGAGATTGATTGATTGAATGATTATGAAACTACTAGACTGCTTCAGGGGATTCTAAGCAGTTTATAAAAGCAACAACAGTGTGTGTGTGGTATGTGTTTAGTATATTTGGACATTTTTTTGATCATTAGACAAATATATTTCTGCACATTCCAATATAAGTGCATTCATGAATGCGTGTATACAAAAGTAAATATTCCTCTAGAACTAGATATATTAGTGTAGCAATGGATTTAGAAATAAATGCAACGAAGAGTTCTTTCTAATCGGACAGATCTAATGCCGGTCACATATACCTGCATGCTTCTGATGACTCCTGAACACACAGATCTCGTGCGGAAAAGTCTGTTTTGCTTTTTTGTTTTTGTTTTTCTGTTCACTTGATGAATTCTGCCTCCACGACATGTAGCAAAAACCAAGCCTTGCATTGGTATGCCTGTGGATTCGAATCTGAAGGGACGGAGAAAAGACAAGGCAATGGGCATACAATGTTCTTAATGCTTATAATAAAGAGAAAATGCGCAGTGGATAATAAAAGCATAACAGCACACTGGCAGAAGGACTCCATATAGTGAAAGGTGAAATGGATTGGCCTTTTTCGTAGTACCTGCTTTTAATAAAATATCGCCTTTCTCTGATCCAAATTTGTTTCATAACAGTCAATCAAACAATTCAACCTGCCTCTGAACATTTTCCAGGTGTGTACTATAATGTACATAGAGGTACAGTTGCTCCTCTGCCAGTTAAAATATATTTATCATGCACATATTCTTGGATATTCATCCATCACACACTTCTATAAACCAAATGCAAACTTCAGTAAACACAGACACACACACACACAGACACAGACACACACACACACACACAGACACACACATCACTGTATATTATTTGCCTACCTAACAGATCCTACATTATTTCTTTCAAACGTGTACCCCTATTTACGCCTGGATCTTTTTTTTTCCATGCATGTTTATGAATGGTCTCCATGTCAGCAGGGGCAAAAAACCTGGGGACATGGGGAATGTACTCATTCTCATGCATGTGTTCTGTTCCATTTCCTCAGCCGTCTCGATGTGTAGCTGCTGCCTCTGAAGTTTTAAGTCTGCCTCCTCCCACTTCGCTTTGTATAGCATCTCAGCAAACTGAATCAGAGCGTTAAGGCACCTCTCTTTGTGCAGTGTGCTTGTGTGTGTGTGTGTGTGTGTGTGTAAGAGAGAGAGAGAGAGAGTTGGGTGTTTGGGGAGGGGGGAATAATTGATTAATTAATGAATGGGATGGCTTGCAACCCCTCTAGGAGATTCCTGCTGGATCTGTCAGCTGTTAATCAATCTCCATTGAGAGAGGCAAAGGAGGCACAAAGGTAGAGCACTTAATTGCAGGGGGGGGGGAACGATACAACCCCAGCATATAAAACACATCCTTAAACATGACTCTGGATGCCAGCGGGGCTGGGGGTTGGCTGGGACGTAGACAGAGGGAGCTGAGTCCAGGAGAGATGGAGGAGAGGGGGTACTAACTACAGGAGCTCTCCCTCCCTCAGCAATGCAAATGGCCAAGCCAGCCAGGAAGAGAGACTTCATCATCCCTTAAGAGTCCTTCTTCCTTCCAAGACGGGACAGGGGGGATGCTTGCCCAACTGGATTGCTACCGTCAGAGGACAGAGGCCTCCTGCTCCCCTCTGCCTGAGCACCTGCCCCAGGCTCAGGGAAAGCAAGCAGAAAGCCCAGCTGCCATGGATGGCAGGAGACCCTTCCAGGCTTCAGGCAGACCTGTCTCCACAGCTGAGCCACTAAGCCTCCTCTGTGAAGCACCAGAGGTCGCTCTGGTTGGCTTAAAGCCACTTTTTGCATCTTGGGCAGCTCAGTCTGATCTTCTCCTTTTGAGTTTATGGAAAGAGTCTTCTTGCATGTGGTAGGGAGGGGTGCTGGATGACCTGTTTGTTAGGAAATCCTGCTCTCTCCCTCTGGCTCTCTGTTGATGGCCATATGATATGGCACAAGAAGCCTGGAGCAGCTCCGTGGCCACCAGCTGAGTTCTCCACTGGAGAAGAGAAAGGAAGGCATAGTCTTACATATCCGCGCTCTCTAACACACAGACACACAGACACACACACTGGCACACACATTCTTTCTCTTTCCATCCCTCCACCCCCTAACACATCTGCTGCTGCTGCTGCTGCTGCTGCTGTTGCTGCTGCTCTCCGGCAAGTAGGAGCGAGACAAAGTGATTCCTGCGAAAGAGAGCAGTTCTCTAGTGGAGGAAAGGCAGACCAAGGAGCAGAGCTGCACAACTTGGGACGGAGTTTGCCTTGTCAGGAAACCAGCGCTCTGTTGCCAAGGACAGGACATCGGAGGAGAGCATTACTCCAGGGACCCTTCAGGAGACACCTCCATCCGTGTGGTTTTTGACTCCAGAGAAACTTCCATCATTACCTCCAAAAGCGAAGACGATTTTTTAACCCTGGCCGCCTCCAGGCTGAGCCGCAAAAAAAGGGTCATTGGGGCCGCCATCGGGGTGGCCATGGTGCTGGTACTCTTGGTGGCCATCCCTTTGCTGGTGCACAGCTCCAAAACTACCTCCCACTATGAGATGTTGGGCAGCTGTCGCATGGTCTGTGATCCGTACACTCCCCAGACCCACGGGGCAGCTTCAGCGGAGGCAAGCCAAGAACTGGCTCTCATCTCGCCGCCACCTTATGTGTCTGGAGGGAAAGGAGACCCGGGGAGAAAGGCCAAATCTGGAATCCGTGGGCCGCCAGGACCTCCAGGGCCACCTGGGCCCCGAGGTCCAGCTGGAGAGCCGGGGAGACCAGGTCCCCCGGGCCCACCAGGTCCGGGTCCTGGAGGTTACATCCCATCTTTCTACAGCCCTAAAATTGCCTTTTATGCAGGATTGCGAAAACCACACGAAGGGTATGAGATCCTTCGTTTTGATGATGTGGTGACTAATGTGGGAAACTACTATGAACCATCAAGTGGCAAGTTTACCTGCCCTCTCCCTGGCATCTACTTCTTCACCTACCATGTGCTCATGCGTGGTGGTGATGGTACCAGCATGTGGGCAGATCTGATGAAGAACGGGCAGGTAAAGCAATGCTCTCTCTCTCTCTCTCTCTTATCCTCAAAGTCTTTCCTTTCCACAATCATCTTCTCCTGTTTTACCTTTCTCTCTTTTTTTGTATACAACTCTGTGTTTCTTTTCTGTTGCCTCTGCCTCTTCTCAATTAATTCCCTCTACTCCCCAGTCTTATTTTACTGATTGGTGTAGCCTCTTATACTACCTGTTCTTCATTCTACCTGTTCACATTTAGGACCCCTCCCACTCCAACAATTAACCACAGTGACCATTACTAGCTCCTCCTCTTTTAAACCCTAACTCCTCCTAAGCTAACATTCACCTTTGTCTTATTTCTTAATCATAAACACCTTGCACCTGTTCTAAAAACTTAGTCTAAACCTGAATGTGCTTTAAGTGCAGAAACTTCACAAATAATTACTTGGAGCGCAATCTGTCTCACCTCTCAGGATTGTGCTACGTATGTATGTAGTATTGTGCTGTAGAAGTTTGGAGCTCAAACGAATGATTTTATTAGTCATAAGGACTCTCACAAAGAGTTAGAAGAAGGGATTAATTCCTCTAACTTTGGTTAAAATTGTAATTGCTTATTCATTTCTCATTCATTTTTACACATTTGTAATGAGTGATCTAAAATAAAACAATGTTAAAAGCTCTACAAGAATCACAAGACATGCTATATACAGTGTTTAAAATAAGCTTGTCTCTATAAATGGTCATTAGTTCTCTTCTTACAAATTTTCATAGGAAAAAGAAGAAGAATGTGGCTTAACAAATAAAACATATTTCTGGTATTTATCACTTAACATAGGTTCTCCCATTAAGAAAATTTCTAAATTTGTAATTCAGTGTTGCTGTCAATTGACTAAAAATTCTTGAATTGGAAATTACCCTTGAATTCAACTTTTCTCTCCTTTTCGCCATCCTGAATGGCTCTTTTGTTTCTTTTTAAAGAATTATATACTTCAAAATAAAGCAAAATGTAGGGCAATATGCTATTGAGAAAAAAAAATATATGCTGTGATTCTCAGACCATTTGGATCTAAAGCAGCTGAAAAAAGATTCACAATTTATACTGTGTTTGTTCTGTTTACACATCTCTAGATAGCTTGGAAAGGGGGTCTATTTTCTTTTTGAAATGTTGTCTATGTTAATCTACAGTGAAACTTCAGCTCACCATGCCATAATTAAAGAAACACCTTCTGCTTCCTGATACAGTAGTAAATCTGAAATCAAAACTTTGCATAACGATGCAACCAGCTGTTAGGGCCACACACTGATGAGCATTATCCCAAAATAGGTATCTCTCATTAATGAATACAGTGTACAACTGAAAGGAGAGGAAACAGATATTTGTTTTTCAAAAAAAAAATTATGAATGGATTTTAGAAAGCAGTTCGTTAAACAATTAAATTGGTAAGATAATTGTTTTGTTCCATTACAGAAGAATTAAGTTTATTTTAATAAAATGGTTATTAGATATGCCCTGCACACAAGAATGAGGTATTTCTTAAAACAGTTGTGCCTATAGTCACCAAATGTATGTTTGACAAATTATACATATATAATGTAGCATGCATATGAATTAATCATTTATACAAATTGCCTCCATTCATCTTCATGTTTAAAAAAATGAACGTTAAGAGGTCTTCACCTACATGAAAAAGCTATTCACTTTAGCACAGTGTGTAATATGTATTCTTCACTATGCCATTGTTTAATTATTGAAGAAAAACTATCAGTCAGCATTGTACTAAATACTTCAAAACAAATAAAATTTAAATGCTAAGAATTATCATATATATATTGTATATGGTGTATGCAAATAGTTAAGAAATAGTTGTGCTGAATTGCAGAGAAAAATAAAATAATTTGTGTGTATTGAACTATGTTGCACAATCTAGATTTACCTCAGGTTTTGGTAGCAATCCATACAGGTATGTAAAGATTAGTAAGTTTATATAATTATTATTTGCATACTTTCCAGGTCAATAGCATATACATTTATATGTACACCCAGTTGTATAAAAATTCAGTATTAATATATTTCAACAATAAAACTTACTAATAATTTCATTCCCAGCTTGAGACAATGGTGATATAAAATCTGACAATTATCAGAATAAATTGTTGAGATTGAACCTAAAATATTGCTACACCATAGGGTTATGAATCTGAAAAGAAAAGTAGGGGCTGGAATATTTTTAGCCAAGTGAATGCCAAATGCAGAGCAATATCACTTCAATATCTTCTTGCATGTTTTATTACTTTGTTTCTCTCTAGCCAAGCAATTTTTCCATCCATCAAAATCCATTGCTCCTTTTTACCCTTCTTTTAACCAGCTTTCAATAAACTAGTTTATATGTCCTCTCCCTCTTCTCTGTATTTATTAACTGCCTGCCTGAAGCTTCAGGTGGATAGAAACTTTACAAGTAGCTTGGGCTTTTAAAAAGGTATTTATTTTTCAAGATAATTCTTTTTTTATTGAATGGCTTTTCATAAGTCCCCAAACTTGGTACCATAAGATTAAGAGAGTTAACTGTGAGTGAAATGTTTAAAGTTTTTTTTAAATCTACCTAGGGCACCAAATTATTACATTGATTAGGTTAAATTAGAGAGCCTCATTTCCAACTCTTTCCATTTATTAAATAGAAAGAAGAAATCGATCTGAAATTTAAAAATTCATTCCTTTATCCCTCACCAAGCCACCTGAACTAATGAAAGCAACATCTCAAGAGAAGGAATCTGTCATCTCTCTTCACCAAATCAATAAACATATTTACATGTGCTAACAGGCAGTTTCAGCAAAAGGGTTTGGGAGACATACCATGTAAAAATAATTTCTTATTTTGTGAAAAGGCACAAACAACAAAAATCTTTTAACAGCCGGATAGAATTCTTCTGTTCAATTGGTATCTGTTTCTATTGTCCTGCATCCTTTTCTTTTTCCTTTTTCCTTTCCTTGTAAAAAATATAATTAATTCGATTGGAAAGTGAATGAGCAGCTAACATCACACTGAATGGTGTTTGTTTGTGCCCTCTGAATAAAATGAGGATTAAGAGCAGCAAAAAAAAACAAAAAAAACCCAAAACCCTCAGGTGCTACAGGTGGAGTCACTTCCATCTTGACAGTGAACATGTGACACATCCATCCTTATTGCAACATCCCAACCCACAGTGTGCGAAATAAAGACCCAGGGACATCACTTGTAGCAAGCAAAAAGGGAACTCGGTAGAACTAAGACAACAATTACGGCCTGGCTTTGGAAGACACTCCCAAAATACAAGTCTTCTTGATAGTCACATAAATTAAAACAGGTTATGTCTGGTTCCTCACTTTGGTCCCCAAAATGAGTGCCTACCCAGGCGTGTTTGTATGCTATAGCGTAGCAATCTGCCACTTACTTTCCTTGCCGCATAAATAAATTGGGGACAATCCAAACATGCCCTTGGCTTGATTCTTTTAATTCCAGTTCAATTTTTTGAAAAAGAGAGAGAACACAATCAATTTCATACTTTATGTCCAATGTTATTGTTATCATCACAGTTATCTCTTATTCGTAAAAAAAAAAGTCAATTAATTATCAGCAATATTTAGACATCAAAAAGGCTGCCAGTCCTAAGTTGGAAGCCTCTCCCTCCCAGGTAGTAAAATGGCACTTGGCTCTATTGATCAGAATTTATGTCAGGCCGGATCACTCGCTGGCTTGTCCTCTCCCCCAAGTGATTGATGCTTCGTGAGGTTTTCTGTTCTTTTTCCGCTTTTTCCTCCCAGCCCCCACTCCTAACTTGAAATAAAAAATTTCCCCCCTTATCCTTTCTCCAACAGCAGCACAGATCACAACAGACAACTGAAAGCAGCAACGAGAGGGTTAATTTTCCCCTTCCCTCAGAGAGATGTTTAAATTTCAACACCTTCACAATTTGTGCCTGGTGGAGAGGAACAATTGCCTGCTTATTAAATAATAAATAGCGGGAAGGATAAAAACTGACAGGACACCTGGTAATATTGGTTCAGTCAATTCGCCTCCTGAGACCTGTTTGCAGTCAATTTGTCAGGAAGGGGCATTTTAGAAAAAAATAAAAGTTTTAAGATCAAAATACCTCCTGTCAATTGAGATCGGGGAGGGAGCAGTAGCCATGTTCGTGCTTTCCTCCCCTTTTCCACACAACTCCCCCTGTTCTCTTTACTGTATGTTCTATACCTTTTTTGTAACAAAGGATCAAAATAAAATCTATATGTAGCCTATAAACCCAACAATAACCCTATACACAAATAAGGAGGACGTTTAAAAGCTTACCCATACATAGACAGCAGGATCCTACAACAAACAAACAAAATCTTTAGCACTTAATCTTTGTAAGTCTCTGAGTTTTAATAGCACTCTATCCCATTCTTAATGCACAATTAATCAAGACATAAATCAAGGCATAAATAGGATCCTCAGGACAGAGCACCAGAGGTTGGGGGAATATAACAATTTCCCCCGAATTGTGATTTTAAACCTAGACATCACTACCAAATCCCCAGTGTAAATTGCCAAATCTTCAACTCTGGAATTAAGAAGGGCAAATTAAATTCAGAAGGCATCTCTCAATTCTCAAAAGCAGAGGTGTCTTGAAAGGGCCATAAGCTCAATGGAGAGATGGACATGTATGCCTTACTTGACACCTCTGGCAAGATCTGAAAAGCCACCTAGACAGAAGGGATCCAAGGCTAATAAGGGTTGATTCGGCATGAGACTTCAGGAAATACCGAAAATCAGAATTGAAACAACTTATTCCTGTCCTCCATACATCTCGCCGGGCCCGTTTTAATTTTTCTTCACCTTTCCTCTGCCGTTAATAGCCAAGTTTGTAAAGCAGATGCACAGGAAGAAGATCAACAGGATACTTGGAAGCATTTGGGGGAGTGGATTGAAAATACCAAGTCCTTTGGTAGGAGTCCAAATCCACATAATGGCCCCCACCCAACCCCAAATCTCAGTTTCTGTACAACTATTCCGTCTTGGCACGGTTCAGCTCGTTGGCAGACGGACAGCGTCTGAGAACCTGGAGCATTCCCAAGTAGATCAGACTGTCTTGTGCCCCCTTTGGCCAATCTCTTTCAATATTCGTCATTTGTCAGTCTCAAATCTCACGAGGAAGTTGACATATTCCTGGCTCCTGTCCCTGGGCTTTGAAGAGGTTGAGTTTAGTTTAATTTTCCTTTTATTCCCAGCCTCAAGTATAATTCAAAAATTGATTCTACAATGGCTCAAGTAGGAGACTTCACTAGTAACAGGGCCCGTCCCAGGTATGGCTTCAATCCAGCTCCTCACTGGAGTCTTATGGTTCAGATCGGCCTGGAACTTATCACCTCCAGTCGACAAAGGCTTCTTCCTAATTAAGGAAACATGGAAAGGCCAAGTCTGAGCCTTTTGCATGTGACTAGATGAGCTTTTTCCTTGGGTTTACCTCAAAGGACAAACTAGACAGCTAGTGAAGTATCATGGTTAACAAATTGGACTGGTGTAAGAGAGATTGGTGTTTTAGTTCACACTTAGCTGGCACACTGGGTGACACTGGAACAGCTACTCTCTCTAAGCCAAGCTACCTCATAGGGTTGTTGTTACTTGGAAAGATTTGGAGGAGGGGGACTATGTATAAAAAGGGAGATACAGATCTAACAAGCAAACAATTAATGGTGCGTCATCCTGGCTCAACTTAATATCTCTCTCACCCCAATTTTATCGCCAGTGCAGGAATTCCCTACACCCACAAACCAGATTTTATGGATCAGGATTCAGGGAACTATTCATTTCCAGAGAAGCAGCATGGCTCCATGACTGGCAGGGTCTGAAGACCCTCCGATGGGATTCACACAGACACATACATTCCATTTCACTGAGCAAGTATCTAAACTAACTGACATCTGTAGCAGAGGGAAGATGAGGATTAGACAGGCCGATTTAGACTTTTGTGGTGGGTTCCCTGGTCAGGATCATGGAAATCACTGACTGGCTGGTAAAGTTGTGTCCACTGTTTGAATAAACATGAATCAGCTGTCATTCAAGCATCATTTTGTAGGAAGGATTTCTACAAAGCTACAAAGAACATTGCACAAGAAGCAAAAGAGGTAGCCTTAAAAACATTACGTGTCCAGTTGGAAAAGGGAAATATTCATGGCCTCCACCTTCTTAAAGAGAGAGAGAGAGAGAGTTTCTTTGCTTTTCAGATCTAGGGAAACTAGTTCAACCGGAGAACTCACCACTGAAACGTTTTGACATGTCTCTGTCAGGAAAAATATCATTGCTTTTGATTCCTGTTGTGCAGATATTAAAGCACAGAAGCACTGCCAGAAAAATAGAAAAGTTGCAAGTATGGGCAAGCTGACAGCCCCATCGTTCTCTATTGTCACCATATTTGATCCAAAACTCAGGATGGTTTTGGACAGTAGTGATGGATAACCTTTTTGTCGTCACGTGCTGGTGTTATAACCCTATAATACAATGAGTGCGCGACACCCCCGTGCCCTGCCCCCCAGCGCATGCGCATGACACACACCTTGCGCCTCTATTTTGGGTCTAGTAGACCTCCCGGGACCAAAAATGGGCCATGGGGGCACCACTCCCAACCTCACGCATGAGTCTCCTGCATGTGTCCCACACATGCTCAGCAGAGACATGAAAATCAGCTGGCCGGCCAGGCGCACATGCATGTGCAGTGAAGCTGAGCTGGGGTGATGGCTCGCATACCGCAGAGAGGGCTCTGCGTGCCACCTGTGGCACACGTGCCATAGGTTTGTCATCATGGCAGTACAGCGTAGGGAGTATCTAGCACATTTCTCCCCATAATTCCCAGGCAAAATATATAATGAGATCTATTAACCATTGACTTTTATTGCTGTGCCGAGATTTGAAACCTGCTCTATTTATGATCCAGATCCAGCACTCAGTCTGTTACAAAACATCATCTTCTTCCAAGCATTGCAAGGATAAACTTTGCAATTTATTATCCCAACTGTAATCTCTTATTAGGAGTGTCCATCTGTGAAATGCAGAGGACGTAGACTTCGGTTTCAGCATGAAAAATTAAGCTCGTCTGAATCCCTTCTGAAATTTACTTGCTAGGAGACTATATAGGAAAATAGTTAAAACAGCTTTAGTTTCTAGAAATAAAGTAATGGAACTTGAGGGGAGGAAGAAGAAATTCATAAACCATGGCTTGCATAGAAATGCAACACAACAAATTATTGTCTGCATTATGCAAAAAATAATATTGAATGGCACCTGTTATTGAATAATATGTAAAGTATGAATTCTGTGACTCTTTGTTTTGGAGTATCTAGCACTTCTGATCATTGTTGGTACAGTAAATGCTTTCAAATTATCAATGCAAAGGCATTTATTTTCATAATGGCACCTATTTCAATCAGATCTTACATTTGCTTCATGGGCCAATAAAATAAAATTAAGAATAGAAACTGTGATACCGCAAGAGCACTGGTTCAAGTCATTGAAGCCAATAGTTGTCAAGTCAATAGTTCTCTTGAAAGGCAAGGAAAAAAATATTCTTCAATTCCTGGCTTTCCATAACCATTCCTTTTTACTTTACTATCATCACATCTTTGCAACATAGTTTAAACATAGTTTATCATGACATCTTTGTTGCCCATCATATCTTAGTTTAAGCAGAAATTGACGTGTAGGCTTCGGTTCTATTTTTTTCAAGAGCTAAATTTATAGATACTCCTCAATTTACAACACTTTGTTTAGTGAACTTTCAACATTACAATGGCACTGAAAAAAGTCATTTATGACTGTTTTTCACAGTTATGGCCTTTTCAGCATCCCCATGATTACATGATCAAAACTCAGAAGCTTGGCAACTGGTTCATATTTCTGACAGTTGCAGTGTCCCCGGGATCATGTGATCGCCTTTTGAGACTTTCTGACAAGCAAAGTCAATGTGAAAGCCAGATTCACTTAACAACTGTGTTACTAACTTAACTGCAGTGATTCACTTAATAATTGTGGCAAGAAAGGCAGTAAAACGGGCAAAACCTACTTAACGAATGTCTTACTTAGCAACAGAAATTTGGGGCTCAGTTGTGGTTGTAAGTTGAGGACTACCTGTAACAGAGTTGGGAGGGGCCTTGGAGGCCTTGTATCCAACACCCTGCACAAGCAGGAAAACGTGCCACAGGTGGTACACAGAGCCCTCTCTGCGGGCATGCGAGCCGTCGCCCAGCTCAGATCCACTGTGCATGCACACATGCCTCCCACCAGTCAGCTGATTATCAGGTCTCTGCCGCGCATGCACGGGGCACATGTGGGAGATACGTGCATGCGTGGGGGTGTGGGAGTATATGCATGCATGGGGGGCACTGCCTATTTTTGGACACAGGAGGCTGCAGGGAGGCCTACTAGGCCCAAAACGGTGCACAGGGGTCACATGTACCTGTGGGGGGGTGCAGGGGGGAATGCGCATGAACAGGGGGCAGGGCATGGGGCATTGCATTAAGGAGTATAATGTTGACACACAACAACAAAAAGTTTAGCCATCACTGCCCTGTACCATTCTGGACAAATGGCTGTACAATCTCTTCTTTAAAAACTCTAGTGTTGGAGAATCTAGAACAGTGGTTCTCAACCTGTGGGTCGGGACCCCTTTGGGGGTTGAACGACCCTTTCACAGGGGTCGCCTAAGACCATCGGAAAACACATATTTTCGATGGTCTTAGGAACCGAGGCATTGGGAAGGTTGAGAACCACTGATCTAGAACTTCTGAAGGCAAGTTGCAGTGATTCACTTAACACCTGTGGCAAGAAAGGTAGTAAAATGGGGCAAAATTCACTTAACAAGTGTCTCGCTTAACAACATGATGTAATTCTCATCATTGGGAGGGGGGGTTCCCGGGATTTTAACTGCTGGCTTCTAATTTACAAGCCAGAAGGAAAATACTGGATTTATTCACACCAGTTTCTCTCCTCAGTCTGAATTGACCTTTAATGCAAATGCTGGAATCGGGTAGAATCCATAGCCATATCCATAATCAAGCATTAAGCCCCGCTGTCCATCAACAAATGCAGGTTGACAAGCCTCTTCCTATTCTATTCTCTACCTTCTCCCTGACATCCCAAAATGTCTAAATTCTAATTGAAACTGGCCCTCAGGAGCACACTCATACCTTCAGCCTTCACTCAGCCTGCCTGAGGAAATATTGGAGGAATTATGGTCAGTTCATTGACAGACAGCGATTCCTTCCAACTTCCCTCCAGAGTCATTTTTAAAGCACATATACATTCCCAGGGCTGCATTATTCTCAGATACATTGTCATAAATACCCTTATCGAACGCAGTCCTGCCAACTCCGTCTGTGATCTTGTCAGTTTATCCCAGGTTAGCAGCTCCACTTCTTGGACAGGCGGCCACTCAGGAAAACTCTAGCAGATCAAAAGATGGAATTACTCTCCTCTAAGTCAGGCCTAATTCTTTGACCTCCCTGGGCAGGAATGATACCTATGCAGACAGAGAGTGTCTTCTGCTGTAATATCTTTGCCCTGTTTGAAAAACATTAGATTGTTTTTCACATTACAGATTCAGATGCTCCAGTGGGCAGAGAAGCCATCCAGTACAAGGGATCCCCCACAGGGGTGGGCTGCTGGGGGTTCGGGAGAACCTCTAGCTAAGAGAACCCGCAAAATCCAACTCCTGGCTGGCCCCGCCCATCTCATCCCGCCCCTCCCAGGAGTCCCCACATTGCCCGTTTTGGATGTAGTTAAGTGCAGGGTCCATGCGGAGGCTCAGGGAGGGTGAAAAATGGGCCTACCAGAAGCTCCGGAGCCTGGGGAGGCCGTTTTCGCCCTCCTGGCAGCTCAAGGAAGCCTCCGGAACCTAGGGGGGCAAAAAGCCCTCCCCCCACCCACCCCACTATGGTGCAGGAGGCCAACTAGGCCACACCTACCATGGCCACGCCCACCCAGCAATTGGGCAGAGAGCCCCTTGCTAAAATTTTTGAAACCCACCCCTAATCTCCCACTAGGTTCAGTTTGAACATTGGAACTGGAGATACGGCCCAAGTCCTTGGCCTTTCATCTACAAGTAGTTTTCAACTTATAATGGTTTGTTTAGTGACCATTTCAAAGTTACAACAGCACAGATTTTAAAAAGTGACACGACCATTTTTCACTCTTAGAACCGTTGCACCATCCCCATATTCACATAATCAGAATTCAAGACACTTGGCAACTGACGCATATTTATAATGTTGCAATGTCCCAAGGTCATGTGATCATCTTTTGCGACCTGCTGACAAGCAAAGTCAATGGGGAAGCCAGATTCACTTAACAACTGGATTACTAATTTAGTAACTGCAGTGACCCGCTTAACAGCTGAGGCAAGAAAAGTCATTAAATGGGATATAATTCCCTTAACAAATGTTTCACTTAGCAACAGAAATTTGGGGTTCAGTTGTGGTCATAAGTCGAGGACTACCTGGGAGGCCGACTAAAATAGGCAGAGATATGTCCATTCATATAACCCACCCACTATTCTCTCTGAGAGTGCAGTTCTAAGCACTAGACACGAAAAGAGGAAGATTAGTTGGCAAAAGATATTAAAGGAAAGAGCCGAGAGGAAAATAAAGCAAACCTAATTACAGGAGTAGCATTCACCGTATCCCACCGTGTCTTTCTTTCCTTGCCAATCTTCTCTTCAGATAATGTTTTTTCTTCTTTAAACTTCTTTCTCTTTGAGGATCTCGTGCCTCTCTCTAATCCCAACCTTCCCCTCCTCCTGATCCATCTACTTTTCCTTCCTAGATTTGTTTTGCAATTTAATCCATATTTGCTCTCCCTATGACCTCAACACCTTTCTTTTGAATTGGCTATTTTGGTATTCAGCCCACATCCTTTCAGCACGTAGACATTCTCCAACCTCTCTTCCTTGTTTCACCACACCCACTTTACTATATACTACCTTTGCTTCCCCCCCCCCCCCGACATACCCAACTCTCAAAAGTGAGCAGACGTGGCCATTTTCACTTTTTTTTAAAACAACATTAATTTGTTACAACTGACCTCTACACTGTGCACTCCTACAAAATCTCATTGGCATAGTAAATCACCTTGTGCAAAAAGCATACCCAAGAAGTGAGACCTGCAGCAAAATGTGATATATTCGCATCTTCCCATAGGAGGGCAGTACCAGAGGCCATTCCATTGTACTCTCCCTTGCTCCGTTTTCTTCCTTTTTCCAGTCAACGTTCTGTAGCTCAGTTCTCCTTTGTCTTTTTTTAGTCTTTCCAGTGACTGGAAGATTAGAAGGAAATTGTGGAAAGATTCTGACTTTCTCTCTAGCTGTCTTTCAGCTCTCCAAAACCAGAACACAATAGGTCTACCATGTGGTGAGAGAAGCTAACAAATGAAAGATTGAATTGAAAAATGGGCAGATTCGGGACAGGAGTTCAGAGAAAAATAAATTAAAAATCTTTCCCAATGTATCTCTATGGGACAGGAATTGAGGAAGGACATGGAATAGTGCCGCATCCTCCACTGCAAGCTTTTGTACCTCCTGGCCATTTGACCCCTGTGCTTCTAAGAGGGACACAGTGGCTCAGTGGCTAAGACATTGAACTTGTCCATCAGAAAGGTCGGCAGTTAAACAGTTTGAATCCCTAGTGCCGCATAACACAGTGAGCTCCTGTTACTTGTCCCAGCTTCTGCCAACCTAGCAGTTCAAAAGCACATAAAAAATGCAAGTAGAAAAATAGGGACCACCTTTGATGGGAAGGTAACAGCGTTCCATGCTCCTTTGGCGTTTAGTCATTCCGACCACATGGCGTCTTCAGACAGGGTTGGCTCTTCAGCTTTGAAATGGAGATGAGCACTGCCCCCTAGAGTCGGGAACGACTAGCACATATGTGCGAGGGGAACCCTTATCTTTACCTTAACCCGTGCTTCTAAACCACATGCACACAAATATGCAAGGGAGGAGTAGAAACACACACAGACACAGACACAACATATATGCCACATGCCTGCGCAGAGAAAAACACATCATGTCATGAATCTAGTGTTTTTTTCTCCATTTTTGGGGTGGGGGATGTTGTATGCAACCCAGAGACCCTTGAAACTGGGGCACAATACAAGGACTGTAAAATAAATAAACTAACAAACAAAGGTGACAACGGCAGACATCATTATAGTCACCAATATATAGCAGAAGAATTTCTATTGCCTCCATTTATCATCTCTATCCAACACGGGGCATAGTCAATAAATGTGTCATATCAAAAGGGCTGTTTTGAAGGTTCAGGTGTTGCTGGATCAGGCAGCAATGACTGCTCATCAAAGCCCAGACTTTTCGGTCACCCTCATATCAAGTAAAATGTAGCAACATAGCTCAATTACTTTCTCAAGTTACATAAGAAGGTCCCTCTTCATCTCACCAATCATTTCCAAATCCCTCCATCTCCAAGTCCAGTCACCACTGCAGCCCAGAAAGTAGCATGTGAAAGAACTGGCAATGGTAACTGCTCCTCATGATCACTCCAGTCATTCACTGGAGAATTTCTCTGCATGAAAAGCAGCCACGGAGGCAGAAGGCTCTCCTTAGCAGTGGGCCCAGGCTGAGATCCAACAATACTGCTTCATGTAGGATCTATGACAATTCGCCACAGCCATCTTGCCACAGCCAACTTGCTGCGGGACAAGAGTTACACTAATATCAAAGAAATGGTGGAATAAAATTATTGAAGAAAGGATGCAAATGGAGGGACAGAATAAACTGTGAATGGCAAAAATTAAAATAGGTTTTATTTATTTTAAATAATTAAATCGAATTGTTACACTGTCCCACAGCAAGTTGTCCCATGGCAAGTTGGCCGGGACAAGTTGGCCCGCAATGTGTTGGCCATGATAGGTTGGCTGCGGCGAGTTGGCCATGGGGAGCTAGCCATAGTTGTCCCATTCCCCTTCATATGAGAGCCAGGGAAGTTTGTACTTTTCCATGAAGCAGTGATGAGCTTTCAGACTGAATAGCCCTGGTCTAGTTTTATTCCAGCCTAACATTTCACCAGCAACTGGTGGTTGGCATATCCAGAAATAGGGTGAGCTGCTTTGTGGCCTCAGACCAAATAAAACTAGAACACAGCCATTCAGCCCGAAGACTCATCACTGCTTCATTGATACCAGCCATGAAAGCCTAGATCCGTGATGTCAAACCTATGGCACACGTTCCACAGGTGGCACAGAGAGCCCTCTCTGCGGGCACACAAACCGTCACCCAGTTCAACTCCACCGCACATGCACATGCGCCTCCCGCTGGTCAGCTGATTTTCAGATCTCTGCTGCGCATGTGGGGGGCACATGTGGGAGATACATGCGCATGTGGGGGGGGCACTGCCTTTTTTGGTCCCAGGAAGCTGCAGGGAGGCCTGCTAGGCCCAAAATGGTGAGCATGAGAGAGGTGGGAGGAGCGCAGGGGGAGTGCGCATGGGCAAGGGGTGAGGCAGGGGGTGTCACGCACAAATTGCATTAAGGATTATAACATCAGCACGCAACAACAAAAAGGTTCGCCATCACGGGCTTAGATCAATACTTCTTCACATCTCTCCATATCCAGATTTGCTTTTCTTAAAAAAGCCATTTTTTGGTGTACAGTTTCCTACCCCCTGTGGAAAATATTTCAGATATCCTTGAGTGACAACCACAATTAAGCCCACAATTTCTGTTGCTAAACAAGATGGTTGTTAAGTGAGTTTTGCCCCTTTTTACGACCTTTCTTACCATAGTTGTTAAGTGAATCACTGCAGTTGTTAAGTTAGTCACACGGATGCTAACTCAATCTGGCTTCCCCTTTGACTTTGCTTGTCAGAAGGTCTCAAAAGGTGATTACATGACCCCAGACACTGCAACTGTCATAAATATGAGCGAGTTGCCAAGTGCCCTAATTTTGATCACATGACCATGGGGACATTGCAATGATTGTTAAGTGTGAAAAATGGTCATAAATCACTTTTTTCAATGATGTTGTAACTTCGAATGCTCACTAAACAAATGGTTGTATGTTGAGGACTACCTAGAGTTTGGTATAGTGGTTAAGGCGCTGACCTGGAAACCAGGAGAGGGCGAGTTCTAATCCTGAGATACAGATAAAGGTCAGCTGAGTGATTTGGGGCCAATCGTTCTCTGTCATCCCAACTGACCTCATAGGGTTGTTGTAAGGAAAACAGGAGGAGCACGGAGTAATAAGAAGGTTCTCCACCTTACATTACTAATAAAGTAATAAAGGCAGGATAAAAAATAAATGAATAGAGTTGAATAGGAGTTCCTTTTGACCCTTATTGAGACTTTAAGCTATTTTCTTCTTCTTTTGCTCTAATTCAGGAGCCTTCAATTACATGACAGTCTTTCCTCCCA